TCTGCTCAATGCAAACTAAGGCGACCTGCTACCTCTATGTCCCCTGCCCTGCACTGGGCTGGATTATTCTAATAGTCTCTGTTAAAGGAAGCTGTTGTTCTTTTGCTAGTTAATAGGAATAAAACTGGAGAAGGGGAGTGAGTGGTGGTTCCGAGTGAGTGGGGTCCAAAGGTAAGGGACCACGTAGGAGAGGACAGCAGGTTCCATAGCAGGTGTGGGTGACCAAGGCAGAGAGAATAAAACGCCAGGCAGATAGAGCCTGAGTGAGGAGTTTATTTAGAAAAGGAAGTGAGGGAGAAAGGAAGAGACATAGAGGCACCAGGAACAGAAGAGGAGAGAGAGAGACAGAGAGAGAGAGGGAGGGAGGGAGGGAGGGAGCTGGAAAGCAAAAGAGAAAGCAAAAGAGAGCGTAAGTGGGCCGAGGCCTGACTTTTAAAGGGGTCCTTTACACCTGCCTGCATACTAGTACTCATGGAACCTTGGGCTGACCAGATTACTGCCTGAGTGCATTCTGCCAGGTGACAGAGGCAGGCCAGCGTAATGCCTGAATCCTTACAGAAGGACTTTAGACACTCCATTTAGCAACGCTCAGCTGAGTCATAAATGATTTGTGGATCAGGTGGTAGTCAAAACCAGAATAGTTTTAGAACGCCAGCCGGGAGCCATGGCCAGACAGCTGGTTAGTTTTCGTCAGATACAAACTGGAGTCACCTGGAAGAGGGAGCCTCGGCTGGGGAACTGCTGCCATCAGTTTGGCCTGTTACTATGGCTGTGAGGCATTTTCTTAATTAATGACCAATGTGGGTGGTGCCGCCTCTAATCCATGTTTCTAGATTGTACAAGGAAAACAAGCTGAGCAGGCCAGGGGGAACAAGCCAGGAAACATCCTCCATGGTCTCTGCTTCAGTTCCTGCCTTCAGGCTCCTGCCTTGAATTCTGCTCTGGCTTCTCTTGATGACAGTGTACATAACCCATGCTTGCTCCCGCTGCTGGGACCAGTCTGCCTCGGCTACTAGGTTGGTTAGGCCATCACCTGTGGCCTGGTACTTTTCCACTCTGAGCTATGCATCACTGCACACCCCTTAAAGGTGCCTGTCAGTCACAACTCTTGTCTCTTGACTCTCTTGCCTGTTCTCACGGCCTGTCTGCAGCTCTGAGAAAGTCTTTTGCTCTTCAACAACCCCACCCCCACCCCATAACACAAAAAGTAAATGACCCAGAGACTGATATTTGGGTTCAAACTTCAAACTGAAGAACAGAAAAGCAAAGTAGCAGGCCGCTAGCTCTTACTACTACCTCAGGCTGAATGCGTTGATCCTGCTTCCTGTCCTCAGTGTGGCTGGAGAATACTGAAACTGAGTGTCTTCTCCTCAGCATACCTGGAGAATCTTCATACTTAAATGTCTTCCTATCCTCAATGTGGCTGGAGAATGAATGCTTGATCCTGAGAGCTTGCTCCTGTCTTACATACCTCCCTAATGCACGTGATCACAGGTGCTGAGATCATCTTTGTGTGTGCTGTTTCTCTTTAGGACTGGATCAATTTTGTGTAGATCTAGGTGGCCTTGGACTCAGAGATCACCTACCTCTTAAACCTGAGTCCTAGGATTAAAGGTGTGTACCACCACCTCCTAGCTTCTGGCTGCTGGGATTAAAGGTGTGTGCCTGGCTTCTATGGCTTGTGGCTGACTTAGCTTTCTGAATCCTTGGGCAAACTTTAATAAATCATAAATAATGTTTCACTACAGCCCCTTAAACTACTTCTGTCGCCTGTGGTGTATTCTCTTAGGGGGGCATACATTGTCAAGATCTGCCAAAAGGTACCCACTTCACCAGTTTTTTTGTTTTTCTTTTTTGGTCCTTTGAACCGGCAAGTCAAATAAACTCTTCTCCAAGCTGATTTTAATCAGTGTCTTATCACACCATGCATGGAGTGAAAATGAGGCATAGTAACTGTTGGGAACCAGCAGTCTGCTGACCCCACCTCCTGATGATGGGCGGGATGCTCATGGCCATGTCTTTACCTCATGACTTACCTGGCTGCTCAAGCTTTACCTGGTTGCTCAGGGGACTGAGTTACACATATACAAGTTTCTCTTTTAAAGCAAGCGCACCAAGTGCGCTGCTCTCTTGCTCTCTCTTGTTCTCTCTCTTGCTCCTTCTTTCTCCCTCTCTCTTGCTCTCTCTCTCTCTCCCCCCTGCTTTTGGTTGGCCACCAGCTACCCCCCTTTTCTCTCCCCTCTATCAATAAACTCCACATGGGCTCCGAGTCTCCTGTTTGTGTTTCATAGACAATAGCTGTATCGAAAGAACATCAGTAACAGCATATTTCTTTACAGCTTGGTCTGTCAGACAGTCACCTGAAACTAAAGCCTGACTGCACAGACTGGCCGAGAACCAACTATCCCTTACAAAAGTAGTTATGAATTAAGTTTGGTTGTGGCTTATTACTCGAGGACAGAGGTATCCTAAGTCCAAACAGGGTTTAACATCTCCCAGCTTCCCAGTTTTGGTGGCTGTCTTGCACTGGACAGAATCCAACGTCCTTACAAGGGTCAGTAATTCAGAAATGTTTGGAAACTTCACTTCCCATTTCCTCTCAGTCCAGCTTCACTGGCCTCTAAGCTGTCCCTTGATTATACCTGAAGTTGTTTCTCCTAGTCTCTGCTCAAATGTCACCATCTGAACAAAGCTGTTGCCTCCTTCCCCAATGACCCAATGGAGATTCCCAGCCATGTGGTGTGTGTGTGTGTGTGTGTGTGTGTGTGTGTGTGTGTGTGTGTGTAGGCCAGTGGATAACCTCAGGCATCAATCTTTAGGTACTGTCCACCTCTCATTGGCTTAGAACGTACCAAGTGGACTATGTTGGCTGGTTGGAAGCCTTGAGGACCCCTTGTCGGTGCCTCCCCCGCAGTGGGTTATAAATGAGCCACCATGACCCATCCCTTATTACCCACACTCTTAGGATTGCACCACTGTGTCTCCTTTCTTTTCTGTATGAGTTCTAGGCACTGAATTCAGGGTTTGTGCTTGCATGGCAAGCACTTTACTGACTGCCCTATGCCTCCAGGACCCTAAAACAGCTCACACCTACCTTATTTTTCCCTGTGGATCTTCCACCATAAGATACACTACATGATTGAATTGATTTTCTTCCCTATCTGGCTTCTGTGAAAATGAAGGTAATGTGCATCCATTTTATGTCTTGGTTTCCTCATCTGAAAAATGGGGTGAAAAACAGTAGCTATCACAAGAAGACTTAGTATCTGGGAAGTGCTCAGAACAGTTTCTGAAGTATACTCAAGAGCTATGCAATTGCTTTCTGTAATTAGCATACTTATACCTCAACTACCACCATCACCACCACCAACACCTCAGCCACCACTACCACCATCACCACCATCATCATTACCATCACCACCATCATCATTACCATCACTGCCATCATCATCACTAGTATCACCATCATAATCCTTGTTACTATTTAGTATCTATTCAGACAGCAGACTAGCACACATGAAGACAGATTGGAAACAGCAGGATGTTTTGAGGCTACAGAAGACAGCAGCCATGATGCTTATAGACAGAGGACTGCCAGGAACTCCATCATACTTGGATTTGTATATGCTATTAAAAACAAAACAAAACAAAACAAAAAACAACAAACAAAACCAAAAACAAAAAACACAAAACAAAACAAAACAAAAAAACAAACCAAACCAACCAACAAACAAAAATTATTTATGCGGCTGATTAGATGGCTCCTTAGGTAAAGGTGCTTGCTAGACAAGCCTCGTAGCCTGGTTTTTGAGCTCTGGAACCCATGTTCAGGTGGAAGGAGAGAGCCCACACCACAGAGTTGTCTTCTCACCTCCACCAGCCCGCCCAAACACACACAATATTCCTCCTCTACTTCCTGCAAGATTGCTTGTGATTTCTCTGTTCCCTTTTAGGAGCAAGCCCCATCCATGCAGAGCTTCAGGTTTGTGCAGTAAGCCCCTGCATGCCAAGGGCTGCCAGTCCTGGCATCAGACTCTGTTCCCGCCCTGCACTAACCAGCTGGCTGCATAATGGGTTATGCGTTTTTTTTTTTTTTTTTTTTTTTGTTTCCCTCCAGGAACACAGGGGATTTGTGACAACAGGAGATACAAGAATGATTGGTGAAGTTGGGTCCTATAACCTGAAAGGCTAGCGCCTTGATGCCTATCAAATCTGTCCTCGTGCTCAGTGCTCACGGTAGAGCCTTTGCTTTCTTAGACCGTGGGGTGAAGACTGCTCCTGCTGAGTCTGGGCGGAACACCTTCTGTTCTTCCGGGCTTTTTCACTTCCTTCTTGACTCAACCCTGATGTCTCAGTGAAGCGCCACAAGGAAATGTTTTCTCTAGGGGTTGGTCTTAAAGGATGGTTGCCGCCAAAAGAATGATCACTGAGACTGGAAGGTAAGGTGCGCTGGAGGAGAGCTGGCAGTGGCTGAGGAGTGGCAGCTTGTCTAATCTCTCTGGCTGGCGTTGGGGAAGAGGACGAGAAAGCCCGGAGGATTTGGGCAGCAGCCAGGTCGGTCGGAGCCCTCCCTCCTAAGGGCTCCTGTCCATACACTGTTTATTTATGGTCTCTGCTTCTGGGACAGCTCTGGAACAAGGGAGGAAAAACCGAAAGTGAAAGTAGGCTCCTTCACTGCCAGCGCTCAATTATAGGCTGGGCTTTCCTCCTCTGCCCTTTACCAAACACCAGCCCTCCTCACAAGCAGCTGTAGTCAGCACCAGCTGTACAAAGGCTTTGGTCAACGACGACGCACATGGTGTTCAGATTATACTGCATATGGAGATCTCAAATGCTTTGTGCATTTTGTAGCAGTCACAGCTATTTAGATGTTCAGGTTAATAAGGGCTGGCCGATAGCTGAACTGGATCTAGCCCTAGAGCTGATGAGGTCACTGGCCTAAATGGCACTCTTGGAAGGAAAGGCCCATCACTGGGAGAAGAGGGGTTTGTTACAAAGACAAAAAAAAAAAAAAAAAAAAAAAACACAAATAGGCATAATAAGCTCTGAGCTCTGTCATTCATCCAGTGCCCAGTATTTGCTACACTCGCTAACGCTGTCTCCTACTGCCCTGTTTATTGCTGTCCTCCGCTGGAGGGAACGATACTGTAAATCAACAGTTTATAAGAGCATGCAACCAGGAAGTGAAAGTCAAAAGCTGCACATCCAGAAATCAAAGCCGAGCTCATGATTCACATTTTTCCACGACTACTTCAATAAAAACTCGCAGGGGTGTGAAGAGGACAGATGTGGAGAACCCAGCGGCGAGTGTGGGGTGACCAGCCTCACCAGGGATAAAGAAATTCAGATGGACAAAGAGATACACTTTCCTTCTTAAAGGAACTGGCTTGTGCTTCCCCCACCCCCAGAAGCCACCAATTGACAGGTAAGTGTGCTTATAGAATATTGAGTAGTTAGTTTTTAGGACTAGTCATGAAATGTTAGGATGTCTATTATAAGAAATGTATAATAGGAAAACAAGATAAAGTTAGCTAAATTTTCTACCACACCATTCAGAATTGTTTTGGACTGTTTGTTCATTTATTTTTTTGTTTGTTTGTTTTGTTTTTGAGACAGGATTTCTCTGTGTAGCTATGGATCCTGTCTTGGAACTCACTCTGTAGCCCAGGCTGGCCTCCAACTCGAGACCCACCTGCCTCTGCAAGGTTAGAAAACTGAAATAAGCATGAAAGTGCAGAGTCAGTAAGCGTAGCCTTACCCCAGCCTGAAAATGAATTGGTGGGAATGAAAAAAGAAAAAGGAAAGGAAAGGCCATGGCCGCTCCTGGGTGAAGTGGAGGAGAAAGTTATTGTAGATAAAAGGGGGAGCATAGCATAGACAGGTAGAGGCAGGGGCATCTGGGAGAGTCCAGAGTGCACATGAACAGACTTAGCTGGATCATGAGAAGAGGGGCAGGGGCAGGGAGGTTCAAGCTGCAAGGGGCAGGTAACCAAAATGTCTGGATTATATAGGAAAGGGCCTTTTGGGGAACTCTTTCATGGTAGAGGGCCAGGTCTGCCAGCCATATCCTGTAATAGGTGGTAACTGAGGGATGCTGGGAGAACCTGGTGGCCGTGTCCGCTTTGATATGTTAAGTAGGCTCCTCAGCTATTTGTCCCGGGTTTGAAACTTAACACAACACACATATACTAAATATTGGTAGCAGTTGCTTTAGGGGCTTGGGACTATAGAGTAATAATTTCCTTATTTTAAATTTACATATATTCACAATAGTCTACAATTTTGAAATCCCCAATTAAGCAAGTAAATGTGTTTAGCAAAGGCTTCCTGTGGGTAAAGCCGAGCTCTGTGTCAGCTGAATTTTCCCTGTCTGAAATGACAAAGCCACCTCTTCACTTGTCTACAGAGTGGACATCGGATGACAGAACACATAAACCCAACCCCTACCCCAAGATTCTCATCACATCCCAAAGAAACAAGTGTCCGTTCTTCAAGGAAAAGGCTAAGAGTGCTAAGCATTAGAATCGACTATCATGGAGACCAATGATCACGGCACACCCCAGGATGGATCCACAACCTCCAGTAGTCAGAGGACCCCTGGGGATCCTCTGTTGTTGATTGAAGCTGTTAAAGAGGGAAATGTTGATAGAATTGAGCAATTGCTGCAAAGAGGAGCTGACGTCAATGCCTGTGAAGACTTTGGGGGCTGGACACCTTTGCACAATGCAGTGCAGCTTGGCAAGATAGACATTGTCCATCTCCTGCTTCGTCATGGAGCTGACCCTCATCGGAGGAAGAAGAATGGGGCTACTCCCTTCATCATCGCTGGGATCAATGGAGATGTGAGACTGCTCCAGATATTCCTCTCCAAAGGAGCAGATGTCAATGAGTATGACTCGAATGGCTTCACAGCTTTCATGGAAGCTGCAGAACATGGTCATGTTGAAGCCTTAAGATTCCTTTTTGATAATAGAGCCAATGTGAATTTGAGACGAGAGACAACAGAGGACAAAAAGCGCATGAAGAAAGGAGGAGCCACGGCTCTTATGAGTGCTGCTGAATATGGCCACACAGAAGTCTTGAGTATTCTCCTCAATGACATGGGGGCAGAAGTCAATGCCAAGGACAATAAGGGCAGAAATGCCTTGATCTGTACTCTGCGGGACCCAGATGGTAAAAACGTGGAGGAGATTACGCGCCTTCTGCTCCAACATGGGGCTGATGCTAATGTGAGAGGAGAAGGAGGGAAGACACCTTTGATCTTGGCAGTGGAAAGGCAAAAACATATAGGTTTGGTGCAGATGATACTGTGTCAGGAGGGAATAAACATTGATGACAGAGATAACCAGGACAAGACAGCCCTGCAATTTGCTGTTGAACACAACCTGAACGAAATTGTTCAGTTGCTGTGTGATAAGGGAGCCAGTACCAAGTATGGGGATCTTGTTGGGATAGCCAGGAGAAATTACAACTCTTTCCTTGTAGAGTTTCTTCTCAGTCATGGAGCTAAAGATCAAACTGGCCCTCCTGATGGAGGCTGGTCACCTCACAGTTCACGTTGGGGGAGAGCCTTGAGGAGACTCCGCAGTATGCATCGACCCATGATTGGAAAACTCAAGATCTTTATGGATGAGGAATTTAAAATTGCTAGCACTTCTGAAGGGGCCATCTACCTGGGGTTCTATGACAATCAAGAGACGGCTGTGAAGGTCTTCTCCGAGGATAGCACACGTGCACGTAAGGAAGTCTCCTGTCTGCAGGGCTGCCGTGGCCACAGTAACATCGTGACTTTCTATGGAAGTGAGACCAGCAAGGACTGTTTTTATGTGTGTGTGTCCCTGTGTGAGTGGACATTGGAAGAGTTCCTGGACAAGCACAGAGAGGAACCCATGGAGGACAGTGAAGATACGTTTGCCCGCAATGTACTAGTGTCTGTTTTTAGGGCTGTTCAAGGACTACACTTGCAAGGATATACCCATCAGGATCTGCAGCCCAAAAACATCTTAATAGGTGAGGCCTTGGGGTATTCTTTCATGTGTGGCTGGGACAGAACCTCAAAGACTAAGTGATTTGTAAATAATAGAGATGTATTTCTGATCATCATGGAGATAGCAAGGGTCACCTCTTGAGGGCTAAGTTCCTGACTTACTCATTTTTAGATCTCTCTCCCAACTTCTATCATTCTTTCACTCCTCTTTCTGGGAACTCAGTGGCCTTTTTCCAGAAGGAAGGAGAGCCTGAAAGGGGCAGGGAACAGTGACTCAGAGCCAACACATTTCTGACCCATGATGGTGGTCTAAAGTACCAGAGGAGCTTGGGGTTGGTGGGCTTAACTGAGCGGAAAGTGATGCCAAGACACTCTCAGACTCAGAACCTTGTTGGGTAGCTGTTAGTTAGCAATATGATGTAATCTTAACTATGGCCAGCAGCCCCTTTACTGTGCTGTGCCCCAGGAGCTGTTTAAGTGGACAGCTGGTGAACTTCACCCTCATCTTTTCCTACTGTCTGCCCTGTAAAAAATAAAATGTGTGTCCTGCTCTTGACAGATACCTAATAGATCGAGTGAGGGTGTACATGAATAAATAGTATTCTTATTGATCTTCAGAATGATAGATTGTTTACGGGTTACATATTTACTTTAATGGTTTGACTGTCACACTATGGAGAATATTTTTTATGCATCTCTGAAACTGTCCCTTAGATTCCAAGGAAGCTGTTTTCCTGGCAGATTTTGATGAAAGCATCCAGGGGATGGGAGAGCCACAGAGCATCAAGAACGACTTGGAGGTAATTTCTGTGAGCTGGTTAACTTTTTCTTTTCTCTGCTTCCTTATTTGTTCATTACCCCACTTCCTAGGGCAGGTAGAGAACTTCTTATTTTGACACGGAAGGGAAGACTTACCACAGCTTCCTTCCACCATGTCCACTGTCCTCACTACCTTTGTATGCAGTGGTATTTCTGGGTGCTCTCCTGCAGGAGAACTTTCACCAGGCAGAGGAGAAGATGTAAGAGCTGACTTGGTATGGAGTTGCTTTTCACTGTGGTCCTTTTCTTTATCTCTAACTGTTCCTTTCTTCCTCCACCAGCTAAACAAATAAACTGAGGATGCTTCATTTATTTATTTATTTATTTATTTATTTATTTTTCTTTCTTTCTTTTTGTTTGTTTTTTGAGACAAGGTTTCTCTGTATAGCTTTGGAACCTGTCCTGGAACTCACTCTGTATACCAGGCTGGCCTGGAACTCACAGAGATCCACCTGCCTCTGTCTCCGGAGTGCTGGGACTAAAGGCGTGCACCAACAACGCCTGGCTGAGGATGCCTCTTCTTCAAAGACTTCCAGGAGGTGTTTCTGTATAACTCAGAGATTTCTTCTGCAAATATTTTTTCTGCTCAAGGATAAGGCAAATGAAGTGTCTTTCCAACTCTATTCAAACTTACCTGCTGAGTACAAAAGAAAGTCAGATATGGAGGTTGCAGACAGTTCTGGGGGTTGGGGGTCAGCCTTTAGCTCCAAGGACACAGACCTCAGCAGAAGCCTCCCTGACATGGGGCCAGGCCCTGTGTACTGAGGCTGCCTGGCTTGTTTAGATATGGCTGGGCAGTTCTCTTCTGGATAGTAGCCAATGGGCAATAGCTTTGGTTCTGGGTTTGGTGGTTCCTGAGTTTAGTGCCCCCCTCCCAGTTCTATGTAACTGGCTCTTGTGTTGACCACTGCCTACTTCTCTGCTCTACCGAAGCCTAGTTCCCTGGCTAGCACCGTGTCCCACCTGATTGGGAATGACTCTGTTATTCCTCCTTGTATAGCACTGGGTCCAGTTCCCAGTTTGTTCTAAGGTGTCCCCTTTGTTTAGAGCATCCTCCCTTTCTTGATGTGAACATTCAAGACTGCTGCCAACAAGTCTATCGTATCACCTCTGGACCAGGATGGTCTTTCAGGAGCCTAAACTGTGTGGGCCATGTGTGGCCTAGAAGAGTCTAAACTGTGTGGGTCAGTTGTAAGGATCTAGGCATTATGGTGGCCTGCCCCTGTCACCTGGCAGAATGCACTTAGGCAGTAACCTGGTCAGCCTGCATGCATACTAGTCTGCATGCAGGGGCAAAGGACCCCTTTAAAAGAAAGTCCCCCGCCCACTTATGTTCTCTTTCTCTTTCCCATTCTTCCCCTGGGGCCGACAGGACTTTTCCTGTCTCCCTCTTCTCTTCTGTCCTCTCTGTGTCTCTTTACCTCTTTTCTCTTTCGAACACAACTTCTCACTTAAGCTCTGTCTGCCTGGTGTGTTTATCCCCCGTCTCGGTCACCCTTTCCTGCCATGGAATCCACCAACGTTCCCCAAAGTTCCCCTCACTCTATCATAACACTATGTGAGGCCTTGAAGAGTTCTCTGTGAACAGAACTTTGCCTTTCTCACCTAGAATCCTGCAGCTTTGGAGCCCAGAGTATTAACATGACACCACAGGCCCCAAGAGTATGGCCCACAGGTTCCTTGAAACCCCTCCCATCTCTGTTTCCACACTGTCTGGACTGACCACTTTTGTGTCACTGTGAGAACCTGAAGGAAGAAGGGTTTGTTTTGATCACAGTCTTGGGCATCATAGATGGGAAGCAAAGCTGAGCCATAACTGAAAGGGATCAGGTCAAGCCACCAAGACAGTCCCCTACTGGACCACTTCTTCCTGAGGTCCCACCTTCTAGTGTTACACTACTCCCATATAAGTCCACTGAAATTTTGCATCCACTAGTGGCCATTAGAGCCCACATGGTCATAATCTTTGTAAATGCTGTCACAGACACACCCAGAGATGCCCTTTACTAAACTTCTCGGCAGATCTCTGACCAATGAAATGGACAATCACAATATTACCAAATTTTTCAAGGTTACCCAGATAGAGAGGGAACACATTGCAATTTTGGTTTGATTTATGGCTTCTGTGCAGGCTCTTGGATGGCTGGTCCTCTATGTGGTAAAGAAAGGCGATATCCCCTTTGAGACACTGAAAACTCAAAATAATAAAAAGGTGGCTAAAACATCTCCAGATGAGGACACTAAGGACCTCATTCAGTGCCTGTTTTCTCCTGGAAAGAATGTAAAGAACTATCTGGAGAACCTACTTGGTCATCCTTTCTTTTGGACTTGGGAGAAGTAAGTAGAACTTGTGTATGTGATACAGCAATGATTCTCAACTTTCCTAATGCTGCAACCCTTTCCTACAGTTCCTCATGGTTTGGTAACCCCCCCCCCCATAAAATTATTTTGTTGCTACTTCATAACTGTAATTTTGCCACTGTTATGAATTGTAAATATCTGATATTCAGGATGATTGATAAGTAGCCCCTACAAAAGGGTCATTTGACCCCAAAGGGATCATGACCCACAGGTTGAGAACCATTGTGTCACAGGCTTTCAGATGGAGATGAAGAAGGGGTGTGGGCAGCTGTCAGGGCTGGGCATCAGCAGGCAATGTGTCCTGGGGAGGGGTAACAGCCTGCTGCATTCTGGTTTTAACTGTGAAGAGTAGGTGGGAAGCGACGGGGTGGCCTCTCCAGTTATGTAGAAATTTTATTAAAAAGCAAAGCATATCAGTTTTCTCTTTTTGGAAAAATATAATGGCTATGATATTTCTACCATTCTCAGGCGCTACAGAGTTCTTCGGGATGTGGGGAACGAATCTGACATTAAAAAACCAAAAAATAAAAGCAATCTTCTCAAACTACTGCAGTCTGGAACACCTGAGCCTTCCAGAAGTTTCTATCAATGGAAATCTAAGGTATGAACATTTTCTACAGTCTAGGAATAAGGGTATGTATAACAGTCTATGCTGTCTTTTTGAATTTATTTTATACACTAACCTGTTGCTATCAGGGACTGAATGAGTCATTTTCTTCTCTCCAAATGAGCCCTCTTGACTGTTGATTCTCTGTCCCCTCCTTCAGAGTCCAAAGCCCTAAGGCACAGTCATTAAGTTCTTCCTGAGGAAGCCCTTAACCCAGCCTATTACCCAGTCCTCAAGTCTGGCCAAAAGTTCTATTATAATAACAATAGCCGACTAAAAAGAGCCCAGACGATGGAGGTTCTCCACCATGAGCCTAAAACCTAGACAGAAGGACACCTCTGCTGCCTGTGCACAGTGTAAGCATTCAGGCATTGTGCTGGCCTGCCCCTGTCACTGGCAGGAGAGTGCACCCAGGAAGTACGCTAGTCATCCCAGGGCTCCATGAGTAGTAGCCCACAGCTTTAAAAGAAAGATCCACCCACTTATGCTGTTACCCTGGGACAGACAGGACTTTTCTTGTCTCCCTCTTCTCTTTTGTCTGTCTCTGTCTCTGTCTCTCTTCTCTCCCCCTTCTGTCTCTCTCCCTCTGTGTGTGTGTGTTTACCTCTTTTCTCTTTCCTTACCCCTCTTCCCTTTTCTAATAAACCTTCTCACTAAGCTGTGTCTACCTGGTGTGTTTGCCCTCCCCCTCCCGCCATAGAATCTACCAAGGTCCCCTTCGAGCTTTATCACAACAAACAGCCCCAGCTCTGAGGACCCACACTGTACTGAGAAAACACATTATGAAAAAAGCTAACCTTTCAAATTCTTCCCTTTCAAGACAAATTCTGCCAAACTTGAATTTATGAGAATGCTATAAAATTAATCACCATTTCAATCTTGTATTTATCACCAAACTTTCATTATTGTAAATTTACAAACATTTCTCAAATCCAATTATGTTTTAGGCCAGCATCAGGGTCTAGGTACCATTAAGTGAGATAAAGCATGTTCCCATGAGACAGAGGTCTCTGCAGCGATGATCCTGTGTGATGCAGGACATGTACAGAGCACTCTGGGAGAATCTTTAGGTCTTTGAGACCAGCATCATCTTTATTTACTTCAGGTCCCTCTCTCCATCTTTGTTTCATTTGTCTCCACTCATAACTGCTGGCTTAATGTATGTTTTTGTTGCTAGTCTGCAAGTTCCATGGGGACAGAGACAGCTGCTTTCTTGCTAGTTCTTAGTATGGAGTACGTGTGCTGTGACTCCTTGTTGACTGCATGTATGTGAGATTGCAGCTCAAACTTTAAATTTTTAGAAATGGGCAAACTTGAAAGTAGAGACTTTTTCTTTTATTTCTTTCTCTTTTTTTCCTTTTTTTATTCTCTTTTTTGGTCTTTTGAGATAGGGTTTCCCTGTGTAAAAGTCCTGGCTGTCCTGGAACTCACTTTGTAGACCAGGCTGGCCTCAAACTCACAGAGATCTGCCTACCTCTGCCTCCTGAGCACTGGGATTAAAAGCGTGCACCACCACTACCTAGCTGAAAGTAGAGGCATTTTTATATAAGTATATACCTTGAACATGTTCCCCCATGCCCTTTAGCCCTCCCCTTATAACCTTCCCCATCTCCTTAGTCCCTGTTGTTCTAGATAGTTTTACTTCTATTTTCATGTCATGTATACATACATGGGCTTATGTATCTAAGCAAAATCCCATGCTATTTATCTGAGAGTGACTTAAGTTGCTTGCTATGACTATCTCCATTCGCATCATTTTCATGCAAATGACATAATTTTGTTTTGGTTGAAAACTGTTTCATTGTGTATATAAACTGTACTTTCCTTAACCGTTCTGCTATCAAGGACTCCTAGGTTGGCTCCACATCTTGGCTACTGTGAGCGATTCTTCAATATCTCTGTGATATGTTGTCTGAGATTCCTTTGGATAAATAACCAGCAGAGTTGTAGTTGTTCCTTGGTAGACGTAGTTTTATCTTTCTGAAGAACCTCAATAGTGATTTTCATAGTGTCTAGACTAGTTAACACTCCCACAAAGGGTTTTAATAGGCATAATTTCTTGGTAACTGAAGAGAAAAGGAAATCAGTCACTTAAATGCCTCATTCAAACACAGCATAACTGCCCCATGTAGCATAGTGTGTGGTGTGTATCATGTACTTTCATTTGTTTCTATTTGATTTGTTCATTGGGAGAGGGCATTTATTCAAATTTGTATTTGGCCTTCAGGCCATCAGGATTTGTTTCATGTTGTTATCATATCTTGGGGGTAATGTTTTGTTTTTTAGATCGACAAATCTGTTATGAAAGAAATGGATGATTTCTATATACCACGCAAAATGCCTTATAAGAACACTGTGGGCGATCTACTAAAGTTCATTCGGAATATAGGAGAACACATCAATGAGGACAAAAACAAGCAGTAAGTGTAGCTTTCATTCCTGTGGGTCATACATGGAGGGAGAACAATTAGAAAATAATTCTAAGTCTGTCAGTATGGAAAGAAGAACACTTACTTTGGTAAAGAAAAGCAAGTTGGAGGGTGGGGGTGTGGCATACCTTGTCCTTAATTCCACAACTTGGGAGGGAGAGGTAGATGGATCTCTACAAGGTTAGCGTGGTCTACACAGCAAGTTCCATACTAGCCAGAACTACATAGTGAGACCCTCTTCCCTCAGGGAAGAGGGAAGAGAAAGAGGAGGAGGCCACCCTCCTTTTTAGCTTTGCTACAGTGTGAATAGTATAGAAGACAGGGCCACTGTATAAAGCAAATGTGGAGTTACAACAGTTAGCACATCCCCACATTAGTTAAATCATCTTGTGTTGTCAAAATTGTTGGCTGCACACACCTTGCAGTTAAGGATGTTTTCTTTTTATTATTGTTATTACTTAGGGATTGTATATAAAGGATTGTGGAATTGGATTACTATTTTGTGTATTTTGTTATTATTTTTAGAATTCTGTACATAAGCACTGATTTACATCATTTCTATCCTTCCCTTTCCCTTCCAACTCTTCTTGTGTTCCCCTCAATTCCTTCTCAAATTCCTGACCTTGTCTTTAATTGCTGCTGTATACATACATACATACATACACACATACATATAGATAAATACTGAGTACACTTAGTGTTGCTCATATGTGTCTTTGTTTAGTGCTTATCACTTGGGACTGGAACCTTTCAGAGGGGTTTTGATCCTGGAAAAGAATGATTCTCCGTCTCTCAGCACCCATTAATTACCTGTAACAGCTGTTTATTTAGGGGTAGGGCCTTGTGAGAACCCCTCTCCCCCCACATACACGTTACTACCATTTTTATGAATGAACAAACATGTTCAGAAAGATTAAGTTGCACAGTTATTAAAGAGTCAGGAAGCATATTATTTATCAGATTCCACAGTCCTTATTGTCCCTGCTATAGAACCAAGTACAGTGAGCTGCCGGGGCATACTTTAAGAATGAGGAAACACTTGGGGCCAATCAGCTAACTATTTGTGTTTTCCTTTCAGTATGAAGGAGAAATTTGGAGACCCTTGTCATTATTTTCAGAAGACATTTCCAGATCTTGCAATCTATGTCTACAACAAATTAAAGGATACAGAATACAACAAGCATTTTTTCTCAGCCTCAACCAAGCCTCAGTGTGCCTGAGGCAGTGGGACGGCAGAGCTGAGTCTTGCAAGTTCAAGGAACCGATTTTTAATGTGTATAGTTCTTGGCAAGTTACATATCTCTGATCTCTTAAGTAATCTGGTTGCTTGTGAGGGCTGAGTTAGAGAGTCAGCGTGTCAGCTTCCGATACACTGTTCTACCCAATCACAAAATCAGTGTACTACACAACTACACTACTCCATTTTAGTGACTAGAATTGGGAGAGCCTTCTGTTAAGATTTCATTTTCTTAAAAAAAAAAAAATGTGTGTGTGTGTGTGTATGGGAGAGGGAGAGGTGGGCACACAGGCCACATGTGGAAGTCTAAGTACAATGCGGAGTTGGTTCTATCCTTCTACCATTTATAGGTTTCAAGGATCAAATTCATGTTGTGCGGCTTACACGGCAAGCACCACTATCGGCTTGAGTCTTGTAAACAGCATGATTCCCATCATATCAATTGCACCAAAGAAATTGCGTCAAGACCTCTGTGGCTGCATGTTTTATGTTTATCTCATTTAACTATTCCAATGATCTTGCAAAATGGAACTTATTGTCTCATTTAAGAACCGAGGCTTAGAGAGTCTGAGTGACAACCTGTGCAGAGCAGTGTCTAAAAAGACTCAGTGTTATTGTTGCATCTCACATGGGGCCTTTTAAAAGCAATCAACATCTCTTCTGGGTGAAACTTGGAAGGAATATGCCAACATATGCCAAAGGGCTCCAGGAGGCTTTGTTAGTCATTCGGTATTTGGTCCCTAGCTAAAAGAATCCCATTCTTCTGGAAGCATCTGTACTAGTTTCTCATGATCTCAAGGTCAGAGCTCTCACTTGGAGTCATTTGTTAGTGTCATAGCTTGGGGGGGGGGGATAGCACTACTGGCATTGAGTAGCTATGAACCAGAACTACCACCAATCATTCTTTGATACATGGAGTAGCTCTCCACAAGATCACACTGTGCAGAGTAAATCTCCTTGGTGTTGAGATTGAGAAAGATAGTCTGAAGGGATTGGGGCATGTTTGACCTGGCCCTGGTGCGTTTTCTTGATACTGGATCTGAAATGAAGTGGTTCCTTCTGGTGTCCACTCAGGAGTCCTCATCCCCATTCCCCTCCCGTGCTCCACGGTGCACATGCCCTGTTTGTGGTGCTCTACCTAGCTCCCCTACACATTGTCACCTCAGTGCATTTTTATTCCACTTTGTCCTTTTGTCCCCCACCCCTGAACCAAAGCTCCATAAAGCCTTTGTATCTTTACAGTTTAGTAAAAAATGTGTGCTCCATGGTAATGTTTGGTAAATCTCCACTGAGTAATCAATGAACCATCCTTGGACGGGAATGATGGTGGTAAATTATATGGACTTTAGAATTTATGTGTTATAACTACATATTTTTAAGTCTAATTTTGTTTTGAAAACAGTTCTGTGATCTTTATTTTGATAATGAAGAAACTAAAGCTAGAAATACTCTGGGCATATAGTATGAGATGTTGCTGTCTCGATTTAGACAGATTTTCAGGTGTGACATCTAGTGTTCTTTCCACCTATCATTGTGGTCACTAAGATGGAGCTTTGGAATGGGAATTAACTTCTTTCTGAAAAGGAGGCATCTGGAAATGACAGGATGGTTGTCACTGCAAACTGCTATGGTCCACTAGAAGAGACAAACTTATGGCTTAAAAGAAGGGTTTTTTGTTGTTGTTGTTGTTTTGTTTTGTTTTGTTTTGTTTTTGTTTTTTCCATAGTGATCACTTTAGGTTTTAAAATTGAGCTTTGTTGCTTCTTCTACTTTGGGAAAACACCAAATGGTGGATGACGCTGGTACAAAGGTGCAAGGGAGGGCCCAGAGGACCCCAGGAACCTGGGATTAGGAGGCCGTGGAGCTCGTGGAGGTAAAGCCGAAGACAAGGAGTGGATCCCTGTCACCAAGCTGGGCTGCCTGGTTAAGGACATGAAGATCAGGTCCCTGGAGATCTATCTTTTCTCTCTGCCCATTAAGGAATCAGAGATTATTGACTTTTTCTTGGGGGCATCTCTTAAGGATGAGGTTCTATAAAGATCATACCAGTACAGAAGCAGATAAGCGCTGGCCAGCGGACCAGGTTCAAGGCTTTTGTTGCTATTGGGGACTACAATGGTCATGTTGGTCTTGGTGTTAAGTGCTCCAAGGAGGTAGCCACATCTATCCGAAGGGCCATCATCTTGGCCAAGCTTTCCATTGTCCCTGTGAGGAGAGGCTACTGGGGGAACAAGATTGGCAAGCCCCACACTGCTCCATGCAAAGTGACAGGCCGCTGTGGCTCTGTGTTGGTGCGTCTCATCCCTGCCCCCAGAGGCACTGGCATCTCTGCTCCTATGCCCAAGAAGCTACTGATGATGGTTGGGATTGATGACTGCTACACATCAACCAGGGGCTGCACTGCCACCCTGGGCAACTTTTCCAAGGACACCTTTGATGTCATCTCTAAGACCTACAGCTACCTGACCCCTGACCTCTGGAAAGAGACTGTATTCATCAAGTCTCCTTATCAGGAATTCACTGACCATCTTGTGAAAGCCCATATCAGAGTCTCTGTTCAGAGGACCCAGGCTCCAGCTGTTGCCACCACATAAGGGGTTTTATACAAGGAAAATAAAAGTGAATTAAGTCTGTTTAAAAAATAAATAAATAAAATTGAGCTTTGTTATCTGATTTGGATATGTCTATCAAAATGTTCATGTTTGAAGCATACCCAATAAAAAAATTGAGTCATTTTATTAAGTCAGACTTTCTGTGAGTGACTTGTGAGGTCGACAATAGAACAGATGAATCAAGAAATTCTTGGGTACTTAAAAAAAAACATATTTTGAGACGATTAGTCACAGAAAGAAAGGAGAAACATTGCATATGAGTAAATAAGTAGTGGATACTCCCTGTCCAACTCAGCTATCAATTGTCACCCTATTATTAATTCTGTTATGTAAAGCTATTTTATTTATGAGTTTTCAGCTTTCAAGAAATTAAGTGGGTAAAAATTTTAAGCCTTACCTCTGGAGTATGTTAGGAAAAAAACTATCTCTTCTATCTTGTATACTACTAATGAGGAGACTAAAAATATACCACTGGTAAGAACTATACGGGGAGAGATGAAAAGACATACATGCCTTATAAGAGAAATATCATTTTAGCAATCATTTTTATGCTTATGGATAGAAAAAATACTCAAGGAACAATAGAATGTTAAATATTCTTTAGATAAAACTAAGATGTCTTGTGTTGGTGAAACATCTCCGCTAAGAACAGGCCCCTGTACAGGTAAGATACCTCACTTGCAGGGGAACTGATGGACTGTAGAGGTCATACAGCTCTCACGAATGCCCCACACTGCCAGTGTCACAGGAAACAATCTTTCTAAATGGTCAGTGTTCCACTTAATTTTTTTTTTGAGTCATTTTCCTCTTTCCTCCCTTCAAACTCTTCTACATACTACTCCTTGCTCTCAAATTCATAACCTTTTTTACTTTAATACATGCATACATACATTTCCTAAATCTACAAACACACCCTGATCAGTCTGTAGAATGTGACTTTGATGCAGTGTTTTCAGGGCTGACCATTTGGTGTTGAATAACCAACCGGTGTGCTCTTCCCTGGGAAGAACATTTCTCCTGCTCTCTGCATTGCTTAGTTGCTTGTAGGGTTGAGACCTCATGAGTTTTCCCCCTTGGTAATGCTACCTATTGGTGTCTTTCTTGTTCAGCTCATGTTTAGGCAGTCATCTTGATGACAGAAGGAGTACTCTGAAAATCCTCCTAATATCACTCTAATACCAAAGACAAAATAAAAGAGACAACAAAAGGAAACTACACCAATATCCCTGATGAATGTAAATTCAAAAATACTCAGCAAAATACCTGCAAACAGTACTGACACATCCAAAAGATTATTCATCATGACTAAGTTGGATTAATCCTGGAAATGCAGAGATGGTTCAACATATAAAAATCAATAAATGTAGTAAACAACATAAATGAACTTACTTAAAGACAAAAATCACACGGTTACCTCTATAGATGCAGAAAAAGTATTTGACAAAATCCAACATGCCTGCGTGGTAACTACATATAGTGACTGCAGGGGACATGGCTCAATAATAGCTATCTATGAGAAACCCACAATCGACATCATCCTAAATGGAGAAAAACGAGAAATTCCACTAATGTCAGGAATGAGACGGTTCACTATCCCACACCTCTTCCGTACTGTGCTCAAAGCACTAGCTGGGGCAGTAAAGCAAGTGAAGGCAATCAAGGGGATACAGATAGGAAAAGGAGTAGAACTAGCCTTTGTTTACAGATGACATAGTAGTGTACATGAGAGATGCCAGCGTCTACCAGAAAATGCCTAAAAAACAACTAAAAACAAAACAAAACAACAGCAACAAAAAACAAATTCAGGGTATGTTTTAACGAAGGGCACCGTGTGCTTTAAAAATGTGAGAAGGACAAGCTGGGGAGATGGCTTGGTGGGTCAAAGTACTTGGTGTGCAAGCATGAGGATTTGAGTTCAATTCCCAGAGTTCATGTGTGAGTCAGATATGTAGGGCAAGCGTCTGTAATCCCAACATTCCTACTGGGAAATGGGAGGTGGAGACAGGAGAACCTCCAGAGGCTTTGGAAAGCTGATCTTGTATTCAAAGCTAAAATAAAACAAAGGCCTTGTTTGAAATGAGGTGGGGACACACAGGCACATGCACATGCACACTTCGTTATTTCTCTGAGACAGTTGAATAGACATTGAGAAAAAAAAAATTCATTCAGTTGTCACCATCACAGACATTTCACTGGGAGTTTAACTAACACTAGTTACTGTGTTAAGGTATGATTGGCCTTGCCAAGCAAAGTACCAGTACATGTTAAGAACATGCTGGAAAAATAGCATAGATGAGAGGGCAAGAGTAATAAAGTTACCACTTTCCAATCTTGAGTTTTCTAGTGCCCAGAGCCTTTGTGTGTGCTATCCAGAGATGTCCATGACTATGCCAGAAGATGCTGTCATTCCCATTATGCAGAAGAGTCAGGTGATGCTCAGGAAGTGTTGCTGGGATGCCAGAAATGTCAGGATGGCCATCCAAATTGGTGAGGTCTTAGAAGGTCATCTTTCTGGAATAGCAACTCTGCAAATTGAGGCAGGTGGTACTGGTCATGACACT